TTCTTTATTTAAAGACACTCTTCATATTATTTTTATGGCAGTTGCTAATTTACATTTTGTAGATGATTGTAGATTTCAGTTTAACAACTGTTTATGTAAATATAATAATCATATGGAATGTATAAATGTAACAATCATACTAAATTGTCTTAAGATGGCAAACATGATATGGTTACACAGATAAGATAAACAGGTTTAATCTTTCATATTCTTCAATGGAAAATTGTTATGTATTTTGTGATTTGTTTATAACTTTGTAATAAAGTGTTTCTGCTGTATAACATTCATATATATTTTTTTCTTATATCTACTTGTATGATATGCTCTGCTGTTTGGCCTGGTAAACCCAGGACACTATGTATAATTATGTATACATTCTTATATATAATTATATGAAGTAAGTTGTTGAATTTGAATAAAAATGATAGAGTATTAATAGAAGAAATTTAAACAATTAATATTATTAATATTGAATGCCTACTACAACAAAAAGCACGGAAATGGTTACTAAGATAAACCTTTTTTAATGTAATTTTATATAATATTGCATATTCAGAATCAATAAAATGCCTGAAGCAAAAAAATAAAATTGTTAAATCTTAGTTATATTTTTATTTAAGATAAACATGATTTTCAAATAATTTAATTTAAATAATTATGTAAATTCAACTGGTCAACCTGGGTACAAAAATTTTACTTCAACACTAATATTTTATATTGTCTTGTTGACTCTTATCTCATGCTACCATGATCAATTTTAATTGTTATTTTGTATAACTACAAATTAATTAGATCTAATAAAAAATATGGTAATAATAAAGTAATCTGACATGATTTTAAAATTATTTAATAAATTTACAGTTCCTCTTGTGTCTCGAATGTGTCCAAGTGATACTTATAAAGTCTACAAAAGTGGTAAGTACTAAATTTTATACTTCATAAAATGTTGAAACGGTTAGTGTATGAAATATGATAAAACAGATTTTGTATATTGTAATTATTTTGGGAATTGATAACAATAACTGGAATAAGTAAATAAGGTTTTGACTAAAAGAAATTCTAGTTTTATTGACTCTGATATTAAAAGGACATGTCAAAGTGATTTAAAAATGTATAACTTGAAGATTTAATTGATATAAAATTCATCCAGTATTATTTGTCTGCTACCAATTTTTGAGGGTTGATCAAAAAAAAAAAAAAACAGTTAAAACAGCTATAAATCAAATGCACAATGAAGCAGGTTTTTACATACAAGTTAATATAAATTTTTACATACAAGTTAAATAGATGAAATGGAATAGAACACTTTTCTTCACCAACCAAAAACGTTCAATGTGACACCATCTGCTGGAAAAGCCATGGCTACCATTTTCTAGGATTCATTGGGCATTATCCTCATTGACTTCTTGGGGAAGACAATCACTGTCGATCAGTATTATGATACCCTTAGAAAATTGCAAGAAGCCATTCAACAAAAATGCCCAGGCTTCTTGAATGAAAGAGTCATTCTCCTGTATGATAATGTCAGGCCTCATACTGTTCTTCACACGTAGCAATTGCTCCAAAATTCTAGTGGGTACTGTGGAGACATCCTACCTACAATCCAGATCTGGACCCCAGTGATTTTTACCTGTTTTCTCCCCTCAAAAAACATTTATCTGATACCTGATTGTGATGATGTGAAATCAGCTACAAAAATATGACTACAGCAGCAGGGACATGCTTTTTTCAACTTGGAATGGAAAAGCTGGTTGTACACTCAGAAAATTTCTGAATCAACAAGGTGATTATATGGAAAAATAGTTTTTGTGTATATAAATAACATCTTATATTTATTTGTTATCTGAGACATGTTTCTTTTTTATAATTGAGTATGTAACCTATCTTTTTTTTATCATCCCTCACAACAGATAATTCCAGCTATTTAAACTCTTGTCTTGCAAGCAAACAATGATAAAAATTATTAACATACAATATTTAAGGCACTGTTTAAGACTGATAACATGTAATTGTTATTGTCATCAAAAATACGTTGAGGTTGATAGCATGAAAAGAGAGCTTAAAAAGGCCTATTTATCCAAAGATAGTGATAAAAATAACAGAACTGTGATTATTGTAAGCAAAATTTTTAAAATGTACTTGGTATTTCAGCCAGTCCAAAAACATAAATCAGTTTTGATAAAATTATTCATGATTATAATAAACTGCATGTACTGTAGTTGAAGTTTTAAAACAATTGTATTTAATTTATTCAGGTATTTTGCATTAGTTAATATTTAAATGATTATTAGGAATTTTTGTTTTTTATTATAACTTTATGAAACATGAATTGAATGTATAATATGTAATTAATATTTATTTTGAGAATGAATAATAATTATATGTAAAACTATAACTAGTACAATATGGCACCTAATGCCCACCACCTCTGTGGACTGTTCTGTGACTATTCACCACTCCAGTCACCAGATGAATAAAATCTTTGCAAATTGCAAATTTTGTGACAGGCAGCATGACCCCTGGTTTTTGATGTGATACTGTAATAGTATTTATAATTTGACCCTAATCCATTATGCTTTTTAGAAAGTAGAATGAAATATACCTCTTTGACATAAACTCCTCTATATTTGGATGTAGAAACCAAGATTTTTAATGTGGGAGCTAATTTTTTAATAAATATTTTTGATTTATTTGTAAAATTATATTTATTCTGCAGTCTTTGTAAAAATTTAAATTGTTGACATTTACTAGAATATTATAATAATAATAATTTGTTTATTCGTAATAAGGAATCCTTGTTATAGGGGGTAATGATTAAGATATAAACAATACAAATAATAAGTAAATATAAATTAGTTATTTATATAAAAAATAATTAATTAAACACAATTTATTTCTTATGTTGATTATTCAAATCATTAATAATTTGGTTAAAGAAATTAACAATTTTATACATATCTATTTTCGTTAAATTGCCCAGTTTAATTCTATAATCAAATTCGTTATTTGAAGAAAATATTCTCAGTGTCTGAAATCTTTGATGATATTTTTTCAATGCAGTACAGTCTCTAATTATATGAAATGCAGAAAAGTTGTTGGAATCACACCAATAACATGATTTAGTAAAATCTATATAATTATTATTCACAATTAAGGAGAATCGATTTAGTCTCAGTTGTAGTAATAAACGTTTAATATTTAAATTTGTATTCATTGTAATAATGTTCGATTGAGTGGGAAAACTTAGGATATGCAAATACCAGGGATGATATGTTGAATTGAGTAGAGAATTTTGATCACTAATCATCGATTGTGAAATCGCTGAATCCATCATCATAGTGTAAGCATTATTCCAATTGTCAATTGAGTTGTCAAGTAAGATAGTAG